AATTACAGTCTCCTATTTATGAGTGGACGGAGTCAGAAAAGCATATAATTAGTTCCTTTAAAATCAATTAATCTCAATCTTAAAACATCATCGTGTGATCGTAACAGCAAGTCAACAACATAAGTCAACGAATAAAATCCACAAGATATATTTAAATAACAATGCAACTCAATATCATGAATAGCTATCGTTACTTAATTCAATTACTATAAAATAAACATACAACTGTCAATATTGTGATGACAACATTGATATAAACTAAAATTTTTGTGTAGTGTAACGACTCTTTCTCCATATGGACGCGCTCTGATCATTTGAAGAAGAAATTCTTGACTGGGGATCATCTTTCTCTGGGTGAAGATTCTTCCCATAAATAATTTTCTAGTACAGTTCCTTGTGCTAAAGATATTGAATTATTGACATGCTCCTCCATTTTCATATTAAGTTGATATAATTTTTTTTAAGACAGAATGGTAAATGAGTTGTTACATGCCAAAAATTATGCACTCATAGTTATCTTATAAGCTATCAAATACCCCAATATAAAATCATGATTATTTAAGCTACTATTACTTGTTTTTCAACTATACTTTCCTAGTCTGGCAAACAAAATTATACTTTCATAAAAATGTATTCAATTACCCTATTTTAAAAATCAATTATGCTCATCAATTAATTTTATAAGCTCAGTTTTACCTAACATTTATCCAAACGAATGTGGAGGCCGTTTATGAGAAACATGATTGATGATCTTGTGATTGATTTTGACATACTAAAATCAAATATGAATGATAATGTCTTTTATTTTTGGTTGAAGTGTATTTTTTATTCTTTAATTTTATAGAAAAATTTAGTTTTTTTTATAAAAATTTTGTAAAGTATATCTTCAGTTCTTTAATATGAACACCTTTAGTCACAAATGATAAATTTTTGGTAATATTCATTGTAATTTTGAAAATTAAACTTAGTATGTCAACATAAGAATGTTTTTGTAGATTTTAATATAAGCATATTTTGTCAGCCGTGTTGGAGTTACAAGATTGAGAAGATATTTTATAAAATTAATAAACTAAAATATTACTCCCTCCAGTTCTAAATATAAGACCCATTTTTAAAAAATATTTTTATAACTTGGAAAAATTTCCCTAAACAGTACTGAATTTCAATAAGATGTTAAATTAAAAATGTGGGCCAAGAATGATGATTTCGTTACCAAAATGCAAAAGAATATTCTTTTTTAATAAGAGAGAAAATATTATTAAATTATCAAGAAAAGAATCTAACAAAGGTTAAGGATATTGTTGTCCTCCTACGGTGGTTTGCCCCGATAATTTAATAAGTATTTGGATTATTTTACTTCTTAAGAGACTAAAACTTATGGTTTGATATTTGAGGGACTAAAGTCAAAATGATGATAAATTTGAGAGACTAAAAATCATATTAACCTTAAAGCTAAATTCACGTAGAAAGCCTTGGATATCTGCTTACTGAGATGTCATGCATTCTTGATTGTAGGCAGTTCTAACCAAATTGAAACTTCAAAATTAAAACAAAAGTCTTAATCTCAGTCATATTGGTTGATCATCTCATAATTAATTTTATCTCATCATTAATTTAATAGAAATAAGTGTCATGATAGAATTTGAAGAGATTATGATTTTAGCCTTTGAAATTGATTTTTGTGATCCGAACACACCCTTAGAACATTGTAGTATTTGCCAAGAGTAATAAATTAGTGACACTTCTTTTTAAATAATAAGTCAAAATGTTATAATAATAAAAGGAAAATGAGAGCTTCAAAAAATAGAACAAGAAATAAGATAATTAAGCTAAAAGAGAGGAAATTCTGCGCTGGACACGATGCCTAAGAACGCTTTCAGCATTGAAGACATTCTATCATACTAAATTGAAACTTAAAAATTAAGGCAAAAGTCAGCCTATTGGTTGATAGTCTTTTGTTTTTTTTTTTTTTTTTAAAACCAACTATTGGTTGCTAGTCCCATAATTAGTTTTATCTTGTAATTAATTAATCAAAATCAGATTGTTTCGATAAAATTATAAGAAATCATCACTTTAGCCTGTGAAATTGATTTTCATGACTATCCAGATAGAAACAGTGTAGCATTCCTCAAAAATAATAAATCAGTGATGCTGTTTTTTTTTTTAGAAAAAAAAAACTATACATCCATTGATCGTAAAAGAACAAAGTCAGGTTACAAGTAGAAAAAGAGGTTTTTTTCCCCCCCCCCATCAACATCTATCTCACATTAAGCAAGATGGAATGTGATCAAAGATGCAACACTGTTTTTTCTTTTTTTTAAATAACAAGTCAAAATGGTATAATGGTTAAAGTGAAAGAAGAGAGAATTATGACAGGCTAAAAATGTTGACCAACAAATGTTGCCGGACACATTACGTGGGAAATAGGCTAAGGCTAATTAGGGTGGAAATGAATACTTTGGACTTCCTTGAAACGTTAGAAAAATTGGAACAAATAATTTAAAATTCATTTTTGCCCATCGTTATCTCCGAAATTTAAGAATAGTAAATTTGTTTTTTTAATCAAAAGAAGTCAATTTTATTAGTAACAAAAAGAAAAAAAAATACAGACATTAATAGTTGAGAAAAAAAACACTAAAACAACCTAAAAATATAAGCTAACACATCAAAACTCACAATAAAAAAAAAAAAACAAAACAGTAACAGAGCAAAAACAACAACACAAATAGTTAAGGAATAACCAAACAAGTAAAGACATCAGTCTGTGACAGTTTTCACATCTTCAACAGCTACTAAATGTATTTGAATTCTATCATTCTTAAAAATCTGTGATAGTCAGTTTGATGCTTAAATTTCCTGCTTCACTTAAACTGTTTCGGACAAAATCTTTTGGATTTTCATAAAGGAGACAATGTGGTGAAACCAGCCAAAAATTGTTGCTGCATCATGCATGTTGCCACTACGATTCTCAGTTGGCCCTACGTGAGTAAGCCTTTTGGACACTCACTTAGCGAAAGTGGAAAATCCGCAACAGAGTCTTCATTTTAGGCTAATGGGATGGATCTTGATGAGTAGTCTTGGTATTATTGTCTTTTTTATTTATCAGTGATATCTAGTTTTATTCTAAGAAAAAAAATCCATGATAGAAAAAGTGGGAGCCTTATGTCCCAATTTGATTGGACACACCTCCTTTGCATTAGCCAATCTGCAGCTTCATTGGTAGACCTGGAAATTAAGCTGAATTTCACAGAGTCTAGAGATCTTAGAATTCATATCCTCCAAAATATCTTCCACAACCACTTCCAGTCACAGATCACAATTCATAACTGAAAAGAGATTAATACATTTAACCAAGTAGTCACAGTCGGTTTCAATAATATAACTATCTTACAGATGAACTTTGATCATTTCAATACTTAACAGCTAGAGCTTCTGCCATGAATGCAGAGGAGACTCAGCTACTACTGTAAATTTGTTGATAGAATGAGATACCTAATCGTAGTTGACATGGCTACCACCATTTGAGCTAGTAATGGACTTTAAAGCAAATATGTAGGGATCAGATTGAGACACATGTTTAAGCACTAGTTCTACGAGTTTATAAACATATACATAAATATAAAATTAAGTATAGGCCACAAAAGTGTGAAGTCATGTTGAGAATTTAATAAATTCAATTTATATATATTTTAAAAGGTCTCATAATTAATTTTTAATCAAAATATGAGTGTTTCTTTATATGTCTATCACACAAGCAACTATTACATGCTTTTTAATTATGTTTTTTTAAAAAATTTATCCAAACACTATATGTTGATTAAATCAATTATGCTAATTTTATAATTTCTATTTTACACAATAGTAATCCAAATGCTCCCAAAGTATAAGTCGGCTGCTAATGGAAAACATGGTTGAGGAAGGCTTTACAATTGATTTTTAATCAAAACATGGGTGTTTGTTTGAGGGTCACAAAACTGATTTAATTAAAATATGGGTGTTTGGCTAATGATTTCATAATTAATTTATTCAGGGTTTGAATAAATTTTTAGAAAACCATAATTTTAAGCTTTAAAATTGATTATTAAAAAATATAGACATGGAATATTTGCTGAAGACATTGTTACATTTTTGAATTATTTGTTTCTGAACTTCGATATTGATAATACTGTTTTTCAATGGAAACATTTTTTCCCCCCCACTTTGTTTCTAATTGACTTCGCATCTCTTCTGCTTGGAATTTGTCTTGATTGAGAATAAGTTAAACGTAATAAAAGAATATGTCAGTTTTTCTCTCTCACTTAAGGCTCTCTGCATCTTTCCCCTTTTCTCACTCCCTATTCCTAACCTCACCCATTCATCCAAATTAATACTTCACATGTTCTTAATATAAGACCTATTTAATTAATTTAATCAAATTAAAAAAGTTAGATAAGTTACTTAATTATAAAAAATGTGATATGTTTTTTCTTAAAATATCACAATCATATTTTTTTTAATATCCTCCATCTCTCACTTATTTGATTATGGTTGAGAGAATCTCTATATGGGTAATTTAAAAAAAATTGATAAATATGATAAATAAGTCTTATATTAAAAATTAAAATTAACTTAACAATTAAATTATATATTAAGAACAAGAAGAGTACTATCAAAATATGAAAATTTAGTAAACAAATCGAGTGGAACCATTACAGTTTGATCCAAATGGTTGCACGGAAAAACAGGTCAGAGAAGCAGAGAAAGATCAGGCAGTTTATTTGAACTCTTCTCCGTGTGAAGATATTGGTTTAGGGCAAGAAACCCACTTTTAACCATGGTATTAAAATTCAATTCAAGTAAGCTGATTACAACAATGAATTGGTAAATCAATCTCATACTTTGACTGGATAAGAGAGTTTTGTATGAGTCAGTTATTCATGGTGAATTTTACTATTTCTTGTCTTTAATATAAGAATTAGTTGGAAAATTAAATTTAATCTAAAATAACCAAAGAGGGTTGGTCCAAGTGGTAAGCGGCTTGATACCGCTTAAATGAGGTCTTGAACTCGAGCCTCAGCGTATTACCTTCTATCATAATCCATCAGAAGGACAGCACTAGTTCCTAGTACATTGCATATATAGATGAACAGAAGATACAGATATTTTGCATTGAACCTCACCAACTTCAGAAGATCCAAATCCAAAAATTAAGCACGTGGCCTTAACCCCAACTATCATAGAAATGAAGGTTCGAACCTAACAGCCAGAGTGGTGGTGCCATAAGTTTCATGAGTGTATCCCTAATTGTTGCTCAACAGATAGAGGTTGCTGCTCAATGAGACGGAAAAACACATACCCTATGGGATGATATGTTCGAAGAGCAACTAATCTAACAATGGCAGGACCGATATGAAATTCACTTGCTAGTCAACAGCCATAGCTTCCGAACCCCCACTTGCATCTTCTATCCCATTCTTGAGCTCTTCAGGTGCCGCTCTCATCTCCTCAATAAGATTCTTCTGCTCTTCCTCTATTGTGTTCTGCAACTCATCCACCTGCAAGAAAATAAGCAGCAGAAGAGATGCATCAGCAGCGACTTTCTTATTTAGAAAACTTGTTCGGGGGAGGCCAAGTATTGTCACCATCACTCTGGATTATTTTAATTTTTTTAAAAGATTATATATCAATGATAACACTATTTTCCAGGAAATGCAGTTTGGTTGGGAGACATGAGATGCACGAGAAGTGAAAGGTAGTGCTGCTCAAATAAATGCAATAATCTGAAAATTGCCATGGTAATCTTAGAAAATAAACCGAGTTAGCGAAAAATGAGGATATGATTAAATATCTACTAATTATTTCACTGAAACAAAGAGCACAACAATCAATACCAAAAAAATTATTTTTTAAAAAAGGAACACAACAATCACACAAGCCATAACATGTGAAGGCTTCCACGTACCACATGCAAAAGAAGAGCAAATTGTTTCTTCCGAAGCTCTAACAATCTCGAACCAGCTGTATTCTCTGCATCCAACGCCATAATTTCTTTCTCTAACTCAGTTATAAGCTTCTGTGTCTCTGATCTCGGTGGCTGCAGGGCAATCAATTTCCTAATAGCTTCACATTCCTCCTTGTGCTGCCTCTCAATCTTACTCTCTTCAAGTTGCTTCTTAAGATCTTCAATGTCAGCCTGTGCTTGCAGGATTTGCCTATTTATTTCATCTTTCAGCTCGTTGAAATTTTCCTTCTCTCTAATATTGGCATCAACAATTGCTTTACTCTTTAGAAGTGGAATCTCGAATGTGGCTAATTCCTGCAAGAAAGCTTTGGCTAACTTTTCACAGTCATTATAGTTATCTTCTTGCTTTTCGATCTCAGAGACAAAGGTTGTGAATTTTTTCTGAAGCTTCTTCAATGGAGGCTCACCCCTTGTGGTTGTTGTACGTGTCAGAAGCCTATGCTTGATTATTGCATCATCTTCAGCCGGACCAAAAGCATAATTTGCTGCTACAGCTTCTCCACGACCTGAAACTTTCCTCGCTTTTCCCAACATCTAAATTTCCAGCAAACAACAGAAGAAGGTCAACACTTGGGGTCAGTTTGTTCCAAGAGTAATTAGATTTTGTTGGAGATTCGTCATAATAGCTTCTTTTAGATTTTGCATTATTTGCCATGGAAAAACTGAAAAAATTCCATCAATATTTTCCAAGCCAATCAAATCTCATTGATTATATCGACCAGCTAGGTGTGGCATTCCAAACTTAGCAAAGACCTCCAGATATATGGAAAAATAGCTTTTTTAAACAAACAGCATTAGACCAAAATATAATTTCAGAATGTTAAAAAGGTCCCCCCCCCCTCGAAAATTTACTAATTTAGTTTATTTTAAGCCCCCCCCCCTCCCACCCCCAAAAAATGTGGTGTCATCTAGATCCGCCCCTGGAATAACTTCTCGTTGGAACCAACCAGACAAAACAATTATGGACAAACTCTACACATACTAACTAAGTTCCCCATTAGTTACATGCAAGAAGAATATGACGACACCCCTATCTAATTAAAGGCTACAATACACTGAACTAATCAACATCAACTAGCTCTTTCTATCTAGCATTCACCATTTGCTTCTTCATGCAGTCAAAGCTCAATATCAGATCACAGTCTAACCAATAAACATACTTCAGATTGTGTAAACATCACCAACAATACTAATTAGCATAGCTTTCTGATTTAACGTGGTTTTGTAATCGTTGAGTAGCCTATAAAATCTGTGATGAGTCTGTAATCTAGAAATCATGAGGTTATTTCTTACCAATATCTTGTGAGGTTGCATGTATCCTTCCCGCTCAGGTTCATTTGGGTCAGTATAAATTTAAGATCATTGGGGGCTGCTACAAATATACCTATGGTTGAGAGCGTGCACCCATGAGCATGTGTGTACGCGTGCATGTTCGTAAGCAAGTTTTCCTATCCACCTAACTTTGCTAAGGTTCTAATCTTAACAATAATGAGACTCCAAAATTTCAAATTTACCAAACATATAGTCAAGGCCCGCACAATTGTTAGCACTTTTTAAGGAAGTCTGAAAATTGTCACCAACTTTTTTTAAGAAAGTCTCAAACTTGTAACTTTGCGCTTAAGAAGAAGTTTGGTTTCTCTAGTCATAACAAAATGCCACAACCCCTTAGTCTCAAAAAAGTATGTGAAGGAGTTGATACTGGGAAAAGATTTACTGAATAAGCATTGTGGGAAGCACAAGAAACTGAAAGCGACAAGTTAATTTGACTTCTTATTCTTTAGTGGTAAAACTTTTGAACTTCTGAATTGAGTTATTCCTTTGAATCAGGGAAAACTTGCTTACTCGTTGTTTACAAACATACTAACACTCAAACTGAAGCCATATCTATAGCAACCGCTCATCTCTTAAGTTTATAAATAGCCAACAAATCTGAATATGAAAATTCCAATAACCACAAAGCTCAAATAATAGTAAACTTCCAATCCATCAACTCTCAGTCAGAATTTATAGACTTTGTCCTTCAATGATTGATAGGATTCTCAATAATTACAAAACTAATTTAAACCAAGCAGCAATGCCCATTAGTAAAGATTCAATCTATCAACAGAACTGTGTGCATATCGAAATCAGAACAAGCAAGAGATAGTGAGTTGAATAGTAGAGCTTGTTTTTGGTCAAATTGAGTTGTGGAGTAAACACTAAAGGGAAATTGCAGATTGAAAAATGAAACGAAACTATGCAGGGTAAGGAGATAAGAACTGCACCCGTTGCTGGTAGAATGACAAAGAACGAGGAAGGAGGAAGAAGAACTAACGAATCTAGAGAATGGTTAAGGTCCTCCTTACGGGTGGTTCCTGTGGCCGGCTGAAGGTTGCGAAGTCGTTGGTTCCGTTGCCTGTGGCCGCAAGACGAAGAAAGTCAGTTGAACGGTAATGCTTAGGGCTTTTGGTCTCCGCTAATCGCTGCGGTTGCAGAGGTACTAATATTTGAAAACGACACCGTTTTACGAAATGTAAATGTCAGCGGCGAAGAGATTGAATGCTGAGCGGCGAGAGGGTGTGAGTGCCCCTACCGTCGGAGAAGAGTTAGAACACCGGCGAGCCGCTGAAGCGTTTAGACGGCGGCGAGAGGCTGAGGGTCGTCTTCGAAGTGGCAGCTGCGGAAGGATCCAGGTGCCCTCTCGCTGCGACATAACCGGTTAATCAGCCAATAGCCTAAGATTTTTTTTTCCAAAGGAAAATTCGGAAAAAAATACTTTTAAAATTTTAAAATCTCAAATTAAAAATGAAAAAATTCCAGTAAAATGAAACTTAAATTTGCAAAACTTCAAATGGTCACTTGAACTTGCGAAATTTCAATTTAGTTAGGAATTTAAAATGTGAAAAATTTGTATTATTGCCCTTTAACTTTTTTTTTTTGGGTAAGAGGTTCAAACTATCTATACCGATCGGCTAGCCACCAGACTCCGGCGAAGTTCAGGTGGCCACTGGTCACAGGAGGTTTAGTAGTCAACAATTATTTTTTTGAGGGATTTTTATAATTTTAATAATACGATTAACAAGTTCTTTAACACTATTAATAAGTTCAGTATAACACTTAATAACAAGTTTTTTCAAAAAATGATATTTTTACAACTTTAGTAATACGACTAACAAGTTTTGTAATACTATTAAGAAGTTCGGTATAGTAATTACCAACAGGTTTTCTAAGAAATTCAAAAAGTGGTATTTTTACAATTTCAGTAACAAGGTTAAAAAGTTTTTTAATACTATTAACAAATTCGATACATCAATAAACAAGTTTTTTAGAAAATTTAAAAAGTGGTATCTTTACAATTTCAGTAACGTGGTTAACAAGTTCGGTAACGCTATTAACAAATTTAACATAACAATTAATAACTCTAATAGTAAGTCATGTAATAATATTAACAACTCTCATAACCATGATGACTACCTAATAAATGGAAAATTTTTTATGCACTGGGAACTAATATTAAAAAATAAAAACATCAACCTTCATAGGGAAATTTTGTCAATAATGTTATTAGAGTTGTTAATATCATTATATGATTTGTTAACCGCGTTACTGAAGTTGTAAAAATATCACTTTTTGAATTTTTTGAAAAACCTGTTGTTAACTGCTATACTGAACTTGTTAGTAGTGTTGCAAAACTTATTAACTGCGTTACTAAAATTGTAAAGATGCCATTTGTTAAATTTCTTGAAAAACATGTTATTAACTGTTATACCGAACTTGTTAATAGTGTTAAAAAAACTTGTTAACCATATTACTGAAGTTGTAAAAATACCACTTTTTGAATTTTCTGAAAAACTTGTTATCTGATATACCTAACTTGTTAATTGTGTTAAAAAACTTGTTAACTGCGTTAGTGAAGTTATAAAAATTCCCAAAAAATAGTTGTTAGTCGTCAGAGTTAAAGAACTTGTTAACCGCATTACTGAAATTGTAAAAATACCACTTTTTGAATTTTTTGAAAAATTTATTGTTATTTACTATACTGAACTTGCTAATCATGTTAAAGAACTTGTTAACTACACTATTGAAATTGTAAGAATCCTCAAAAAAATAGTTGCCGGTAGTCGGAGCTCTAGCAACTCGTCATCAGTCTCCCCTGAGCAGAATAAATTGTACAGAGTTTAGTGCAGGCTTCTTGTTTCTTTTCTGTTTATCTCGAATAGTTTTTCCCTCATAACAACAACAGAAAACAGAACCTTTTAGTAATCTTTCCAGAAGAAGAAAGAGTTTATTATTTAGCTTCCCAATTTTTATTTGTTCTCTGTTTTAATTAATTAATTTTCGTTATAAATAGTAGTAGTAATAATGACAACAACAGCAGAAGAAGTTAGTTTCAAGGGCAAATGGAATCGTAGGTACAATTTCATCAACAAACAAACAACAAGCCTTATCCCACTACGTGGAGTCGGCTACATGAATCACACGACGCCATCGTGCTCTGTCAACAACCCAATCCTTAGATATGTTGTTGATTAGGAGGTCTCGTTCAATGACCTCATTCAGCGTTCTTCTCGGTCTTCCCCTGCCTCTTTTTATGGGACTCCATCTTGTTTGATCCACCCTCCTCACGGGGCCTCCAAAGGCCTTCTCTGCACATGTCCAAACCATCTTAAGCGATTTTCAACCATTTTCTCTTGGATAGGTGCCACACCGACTCTTGTCCTGATCTTTTCATTTCGAATCCTATCTTTTCTTGTATGACCACACATCCATCTCAACATCCTCATTTCTGCTACTCCGACTTTGTGCTCTTGTTTTCCCTTTATTGCCCAACATTCACTACCATACATCATAGCTGGTCTTATAGCAGTCCGATAAAATTTTCCTTTAAGTTTCTCAGGTACCTTCTTATCGCAAATAACTCCGGTAGCTTTCCTCCACTTTAACCAGCCAGCTTGTATTCTATGAGAAATGTCTCCATCAATTTTCCCATCCTCCTGTATAATGGATCCTAGGTATTTAAACTTTGATACTTGAGGAATAATTTGCTCTCCCATCCTCACCTCCAAATCCCTATTACCTTGCCTCCCTCCAAAATCACAATGCATATATTCTGTTTTGTTCCTGCTCAAACGGAAACCTTTCGACTCCAAAGTCCTTCTCCATAACTCCAAACTAGTGTTAATCTCTTCTTTTGATTCCGCCATAAGAACTATATCATCCGCGAAGAGCATGGACTTAGGGATTCTTTCTTGAACAGGTTTAGTTAGAACATCCAGAACAATGTTGAACAAGTACGGACTCAGAGAGGATCCCTGATGTAGGCCAATCTTAATAGGGAAGTCCTTTGTCTCCCCCCCAGGCGTCCTTACACTGGTAGTTATCGCCTTATACATATCTTGTATGACTTTGATATACGCAACCCGTACACCTTTCTTTTCCAAAGCCTTCCACAATACTTCTCTTGGCACACGATCATAAGCCTTTTCCAGGTCAATAAAAACCATATGTAAATCTCTTCTTTTACTTCTATATCTCTCCATTAACCCCCTTAGTAAATAGATTGCTTCCGATGTGGATCTCTCTGGCATAAATCCAAATTGGTTTTCCGAAATAGAAGTCTCCAACCTTAATCTATATTCCATCACTTTTTCCCACAACTTCATTGTATGACTCATAAGTTTTATCCCCCTGTAGCTTGCACAGTTTTGAATGTCTCCTTTATTCTTGTAAATAGGAACTAAAATGCTTTTCCTCCACTCATCCGGCATATTTTTAGAGCGTAGAATTTCATTAAAAAGCTTGGTTAGCCACGCCTCCCCCTCATCGCCCAAACATTTCCAAACTTCAATAGGGATACCATCAGGCCCAACGGCTTTTCCATTGTCCATTTTCTTGAGAGCCGCCTTAACCTCTCCGATACGTATCCTGCGGTAGAAAGCCAAATTCCGATCATCTTCGTTAATTAGCAAGTCCTGCAAGTCCTGAGTCGCATAATTGCTTCCCTCATTAAACAACTTGTAAAAGTAAGCCTCCCATCTGTCCTTAATATCACCATCAGTAACTAACACTTTACCATCTTCATCCTTTATACACTTTACTTGGTCCAGATCTCTCTTTTTCCTCTCCCTTTGCTTCGCGATCTTGTAAATATTTCTTTCTCCCGTCTTTGTTCCTAACTCCTGATAAAACCCTTCATAAGCTTTAGTACGTGCTTCGCTCACTGCTCTCTTTGTTTCTTTTTTAGCCAACTGATACTTTTCCTGGTTCTCTACACTATTGCACAGGTGTATGGCCTTAAAACAATCTTTTTTCTGTTTGACTTTCTCTTGCACACTCTTATTCCACCACCAAGTCTCCTTATCTCTTTGACCAGGACCTTTGGATTCTCCCAAAATTGCTTTAGCTACCAAACGAACCCTTGAAGCTATCTCTTCCCACATCATGTTTGCATTTCCCTGCAACTCCCAATTCCCTTCCTTCAAAAGAGTCCTTTTGAATAACTCCTGCTTCTCTCCTTTTAACTGCCACCACTTAATCCTGGGTTTTGCCACTTGATGGTACTTTTGCCTGGTACTCTTAAAACATACATCAAGGATAAGTACTCTATGTTGGGCACTCACCCCGTCTCCTGGAATCACTTTGCAATTAGTACACAATTTTCTGTCCGGATTCTTAACCAAAAAGAAATCAATCTGTGATTTTGAGACACCACTTTTGTACGTGATTAAATGCTCCTCTCGCTTCTTAAAACAAGTGTTGACAATCTTAAGATCGTATGCAAGAGAAAAATCGAGAATAGATTGTCCTCCACTGTTAAGCTCCCCAAAACCAAAACCACCATGGGCCCCGCTGAATTGTCCTGCTTCTTTACCAACATGTCCATTAAGGTCCCCACCGATAAAAATTTTTTCTTCAAGTGGTATGCTTTGAACCAAGCCCTCCATATCTTTCCAAAACTTATCTTTAAGGTGTGTCTCTGTCCCAACCTGAGGTGCATAGGCACTAATGATATTGATAGTATCCTTTCCAACAATTACTCTTAACGATATTATTCTGTCCTCAAACCTTTTAACCTCTACCACGTTTTTTTTCCATGTCCCATCAGCGATGATACCAACCCCATTCCTTGTGCTCACCTTTCCTGTGTACCAAAGTTTATACTCTCCAAGTTCCTTGGCAGCTTCTCCAGTCCATTTGGTTTCTTGGAGGCATAAGATATTAATCCTTCTGTCCCTCATAACTCCTGCTACTTCCATAGATTTCTCATTTAACGTCCCAATATTCCAAGTGCCAAATCTAATCTCAGTCTCATGAACTAACTTCTTTAGCCGCCTCCGTCCAAGAGAGTGCGGTAGCCCTTGCTCATTTAACACTACATCCGGGCGACGATGCAGCGGCTCTAGCTCATTTCTCACTGTACTCGAGCCATACAGCGCGTCACATCTGGGCAACGACCTAGTATTAGCATAATTACTTCGTTGATCCATGTTCATGAGATTCGACGGGTTTTTACGTTGGCTGTCGAGGGCCTAACACAACCCTCCTCCTTTATCCGGGCTTGGGACCGGCTATACAACATAGGCGGAGTTGTAGGTACAATTTCATATGGGATAATAAAAAATAAAACCATGAAATCAGATTGATCATTTTCTCACCTTGTTTTATGGTATTTAAATGCATCATTAGCAACTTGCATACTATTGATCATTTATTAAATTATTTAAATTGTACTGGGAACAACAATGTATGAAGTCTAATCTTTGGTAAAGCAGGGTACCATGTGAATTGGCTTGAACACCTATCATTTAATATTATATGAGAAACACCACATGGACATCGCCATCAAAAAATGATCTACCATAGTGATGTGAATATAATAATGTTCCTCGAGAAGAACAAATAGCAATAAAGCAAGAAGAAAAATTTATAAGACAAGTGGAATTATATGACAGAAACTGCTCTTCTTTCTCTTGACATAGTATCTCATTAATGCTAAATATAATGGCCTGCCCACATGGTGTACAAGTTTGAGTTTTATATGAGAGGGTTTTAAGATGCAGGAGACATGTAAGAGGAATACCATCTGTGGAAGATGCCATTGCAGGAGAACTCGTGTGATTCCCAAGTTGAAAATTAAAGGATGAGTTGGGAAGCTTGGTGTCTAGGAGGCACTGAGCAAACAAAATTCTAGGGTAGGTTTAAGATCCAAGTCAAGGTGATATTACTGCCTTCCAACTTTGTGACATATGGAGAGGAATATGTGCTTCTTGCCTCCCTCTACTTGTTTGCAATACACAGAGAAGATTGCTGACAACTAAACCTCAGTTTTGAACAGATTGTACCCACAAGCTCTTAGATATCTCTTTCTCTGAGAAGAAAAAATGGCAGCCATTGCACCAAACAAAAATAACTCCCTTCATATCCGCTGCAACAGCTTGCCTTCTGCATCTCACCCTCTTGTATCTCAATTTGAGGAGCATCTTAACGGATTAAAGTCTTCTGAATTAGCTTATTCTTCTCTAAGCTGCAAACTCCGTGGTTTGGAGGATTTGCTTGAATGTACTGGTAAGATGCTCCAATTACAAATGGCGCAGAAAGCCTTTGAAGAGAATGTAGTGACAAATCTGTTGACGAACTACTTGATATGTCTTTGAGGCTCCTGGCCATCTGTAGTATTGCTGAGGATTTCCTACTGCAATCAAAAGAAGGCATGGATGAACTTCACTCAATATCTTCAATATCAGAGAGTATTAGTGACCTAGAATGAGGAGTTGAGCACCTCTTAAGGCAACTTATCAGAAACAGAATTTCCCTTCTCAATATCTTCAATCACTGGTATGAAAAAAATATTAAGAATAACCTTTCACACCCAAATCCAGTTCTTCCCCTGGTTGTCTCGTACATGAATGTGACTAATAGTACTATTCTTTTACTGAGTACATATTATCTTGGTATCACTTTGTGGCTATTTGATCATTTGCTTTATCTCTAACTTCTAACCCTGAAAAGCCAATTTTTAAGATCCTTCTGACAGCTTCACTCAATCTTGTACCTAAACTTATGATATTATTCTTCTGTAAGCTTGACACTTTGGAATATGCTTGCTTGTCTTCTGTATTGGCTTGGTGTTTATTTCTCCCTTCTCTTCAAGCCTGTTCATCTTTTATACTAACTTGCATGTCCTGGCTACATCTCATTCCCTTATACTACTAGTATTCTAGTTCCTCCTCTTCTCATTGATAACTTCATCTTTCCTAACTAGGATATCCTGTCTTTCACTTTCTCTGGATTCAGAAGCAGGAACGATGAAAGATTTTATAGAGACACAACTGGCAACAGTGTCAGCATCTAATACTTATCCAAGCTCCATTTTTTTCAGATTGAGGTCACTTTCCATGTTCAAGAAATGTAATTCAAGTCATAAACTATGTGGAATTGCAAAGAGGGAATACTTAAGAAATCACCTCTCCTAATAAGAGCCTCCTTCCTGATTATATCATCAATAATTCTCATTGCAACAGGGATTGATGATGAAATACAAATCTTAAAGAGTACAAGAACTCTCTAGTCTCTAGTCTTCACCATCATAAATTACTAAAATTCATACGATAGTGGATGATTAGAAGCCATGGGAGAGAAGGAAAAATAGTTCTTAAAGGGTCGAAGTACCTCAGAATCTGTGCAGAGAGCAATAGCAGCTACACTTACAGCCCTCTCTGCAAGCAATCAGAATTCAAAAACATGAATATGTAAAGGTCAAAGGTAAGCCATGATTTCTGTCACTACTTTTGATGGTTTACTTGCTCTTTATAGTGCCTGTGTATCCCCCCTTCTTTTCTCTTTCTTTACTGTTGTTTTATAAACAGACATAAGATGAATAATTGGACAAAATAGCTCCAGCAAAAACATGTTAGCCTGTGATAATTTGTCTGTCTTATTAGTAGCATCATAATAATTAATACCTATTGGAACTTGCTCATTTTCTGCAATTTCATGCTTTTTAATAGTTTCATTTCTCTATTTCTATAATAATATATGATGATGACTATGTTCCATCCTGGTATGACAAAGTTCATTTTAAAATAGAACATGAAACAGTGCCAGCATCCTGTTCATGACCAACCACTTTAATCAATGGACACTGAATCAACAAACCTGCATAAACATTCCTGTCCATATATGATCCTTAATCTCTGAAGATTTAGATTCTCATTTTTATTAAACCATATTTGTTCGCACTACTACGCGTTCAAAATGGTTGAATAAAGATTATTTAATGATGGAAACAAACTTTCCCACAGACAAAAGATCCATATATGATGATCACTCTGATGGTATGCCTTGTTGGAACACAGTTTTAGTGTGAAATGGAGGAGACATTACCAAGGAATTTGAATCTGCAGCACATGGATTCTTGTGATTCCCAGCCCAAAAACTGATGAATGAGTTGGCAAGTTTGTCAAGAGGGAAGCACTGAACAAAAAATGCAATGGAAGCACAGAGAATCATCCTAATATGTTATTATTTCCTGCCCAGATGTGGAAAGAAAACATATTCTTCCTGTCTCCCTCTATTCTTTGACTATATAAGAAGATGCACATCGCTGAGACTCACAAGTTTAGAAGAAATTGCATTTCTTATTTCAAAGCCTTCTATTTTCTAAGAAAAGAAAATGGCAGCCGTTGAATCAAACCCAAAGATCTCTCTGCATGCACGCTCTAATAGCTTTCCCACCGCACCTCATCCCCATGTATCACGATTTCAGGAGCACCTGAACAGATTAAAGTCTTCTGAATCTGCTGCTACTTCATCATCTTTAACCCACAAACTTAGTGGCTTGCAGGATTTACAGGACTCTTCTGACAAGTTGCTTCAATTGTCAACCACCCGACAAGTCTTAGCACAAGATTGCAGCCAAAAATGGGTTGATGAACTACTAGATGGGTCTCTAAGGCTCTTGGATATCTGTAGTACTGCTAAAGATTGTCTTGTAATGTCAAAGGAATCCGTGTACGAAGTTCAGTCAGCCACGAGAAGAAGAGGAGCAGAAGCTGCATTCACAGTTGGGGCTGGAAATTATTTGGCTTCCAGGAAGAATGTGAAGAGAGCAATTAGAAATGCCTTAGGAAATATCAAAGGAATAACAAATGGCCTCACAGTTTCTTCTGAAGCCAAAGAAAATGACACGCTTAGCATGTTGAAACAAGCGGAAGCAGTCACCGTGAGCACATTAGAATCTCTATTGTACTTCATCTCGGATCCAAAGGGACAATCAAAGCAAAGCAGATGGTCTGCAATTTCCAAGTTGACAAAGCCAAAAAAAAGTAGCTTGTGACTCTCAAGAAATAGTCACAAATGAGTTTGAGAAGGTAGATTCAGCTTTGAAGTCTCTGATCAGTCAAAAGCAAGCATCCGCAGACAATTTTCAAGGCAATTTGGAAAATTTGGAGATGTGCATTCAAGATCTAGAAATAGGAGTTGAATGCCTTTCAAGGAAACTTATCAGAAACAGAGTTTCCATTCTGAACATCCTCAACAACTAGTTACACAAATTATTTAGGATAAACTTGGGCACTCAAATTCAATTTTCCCCCATGAGTGTCTCATGCTTGTACATGAATGAAAAATACTGAGTACATATCCTTGGATTATGTTTGGCTATTTGATCATCTATCTTCTTTCCAACCTTGAAAAATCTCAATTTTCCATTCCTTGTTCCCTAATAAAGAAAAGTAGAATCATCTTGGAATCAACATAAGTAAACTTGCGAAATTTGAGTAGAATAACCTATATATAAGGACAAGGGTGCTTAGGGTATTAGATGTACACCTCCGGTAGTAGTATAGATAGTGGGAGGACATGCACATATTATGTGGATGAATCTATATTCAACTTATTTTGTTTTATTTCCTTTTGTCATGTATCAGTTAACTTTCATGAATGGTATTGTATCCCCTAACATGTATACAAGAGGCAGGGGTAGAAATAGCGCTAGGAATAATGTTTTCTATATAGTGAGGTAAATTGATTAAATATGAAAAAAAGTCAGTTAATATATTATCTTGCTTTGAAAACATGTTTTTAACACACATATAACAATATTATGCAGAAGCGGGAAGGATGAGCAAGATTTGAAGATAATAATTAATTGGAAGCCATAGTCTGTATGAGACCCATCTGTTATTTCTATATTAGCGGCAAATGGAATCAAAGCATCCATATCACATGTACGAGTCATTAATTCAAATTTTTATGTCCTATAATTGCTACGAACAACATGGTAGCAGCCACACCACCAGAGCAGAGGGTGATTAATATAATGAGACTACATATATGATTATTGCAAGTATGAATAGAAATATAAGATTCTGAGTTGAAGTGTTCCTGAGCCAGAAACATTGCATCTAAATTTCTGAGATTATGTGTTTCTGAATCATCATTTATCAACCTTTTAGAAAATTCATTATTGAGTCCAATTTTTACCTTGCATTTTGAGGTGAATGCTGAATGAAAGATTTCTAATCAATATTAACTATGTTTCCTCCTTTAGATGATATGAAGTGGTAGAAATACACATAAAATGACTTTTATATCTTCTTTTATAATATGTTCACTCGCAAGTTATTTACCTAAATATTTCTTCAATAACATAAACAATTGATTTAAAGGAATAATAGCCATCAGACACTCACTCTTTTTCTAGCAATGTCTATTATTAATCTTCAAATTAGAAAATGACAAAAAATCAAAATCGATGCAGATTACATCCTTCATATCCTGAACAACCTTATTACATCTAATCTCCCTTATTCTTGGTATCACCCTGCGTATAAAAAAGTACGGCTCAAACAAAACATATGATTTTGTGTTGGCAGGAATATTCTCTGAAAAGTATAAGAAGAAGAGATGAAGAAGGAAGTAGTGCACGATGTCTTCAAAATGTGGGCAACACTTTTCTTTAGGCTTAATTCACCCCCACCTATTCTTATCTTATAGGGTGCATGTTGGGTTGACCAGTGAATTTCTTTCAGGATACAATAAAGACTCTTGAATATGGATTGCACTTCTAAGATTTAAGCGAAGACAACAATGGCCTTTATAAAGTGATAACTTGACTATCTCTACGTGCACTTAAAGACAAAGGCAATTGGTTTGATTTTTGTATTTGTGTTGTGTTGTGTCTAAATGCAGTGATGGTGAGCGGTTTATATAGATCATATAACAATGCCTTAAAGAGATACCTTTTGGAATAATACCTTATTAAACAAAAATTCACAACTATATGTTGGTTCATGATCCAACATAAGAAATAAAATGAATTTAATATGTAGGGTCTTTTAGTATTGTAACTTCCTAGATAACCTTCAAATAAATATATTAATTTATATGAAGACACAATCCCTCGTATAAATATATTAATTTATATGAAAACATAACTCCTCATATAAATTTATTGATTTAATAAATTTACATAAAGACATGATTTTTCAAAAACACATCTCTTCATTTTAAAAATATTCCAACACTTTGCATTAAATCCCAAGTAAGAAAAAGAGAGAGAGAGAGATCTAGATAAATCTGATAAGTTCCATATTTTTGCAGCAGCGCAAATACTGGGGCAAAGCCAGATGTTGATTTTTTTTTTTTTGGTCATTTAACTCATAAGATTTTAAGTTGAGTTCAAACCTCTTTAAGATACCTGCAAATTGATCTCAGATATCTTCTCCTGTTCGATACTTATCTACTCCATAAAACAACTACTTTGAGTAATTGGTCTCCTGCTATGAATGAAGATGATACAATATAGTCTCCAACATTCTTAGTGTTGAAGTTCTCCATGCATTGAGTGCATTGTTAAACACTTGGACAGTAAAATATTGAGTTTCCAATAGAAGCCATAGCAGCAACAGTATCAACCTCCTGTGAGCTCACCAGCCAATATCTGGAGATAGCTCCACTTCCCATAAAATGATATCAAGTGAGAACTTACTGCATTTTCTTGCCTAGCTTGATTCTTCACCATGGTTGTTTAAAATATAAATCTCGCAATGCAAAGTTCTAATGGTTCCAATGAAGCCTTAGCAGGTGTAGGAGCCATAACGATAATGAAGTCCTTAGTCAGAGTGCTTTGTGAGGTGAGAACAAGGTCTGCATGGTGTTCTATTGCATTTCTTCTACAGTTTTATAATCTGAAATGTAGCAATCATAGAAGTAACTGGTAACTCTGTGCAGTCTACTGCTTGAAGCACATCCTTGGATCCTTGCTCTTTTTCAGAATGATCCCATACTTTCATCATATGGAGAATGACAAACAAGTGCTCCATTCCAGTACTATAATTATAATATTTCTTTTGCAGAACCCTAGTACAATGGCAACTTGATTTCATCCAATATCAGAGATGCTTCCATAACGATATTACTAGCAATCACAAGCCATTCATACCCCTTCAAGATTGGTAGGTTGGCTTAGATAGGCTAATCTCTTATGCTGATGGATGGCCTCATTGCCACTTCATGACCATAAGTCTTCCTCTGACATATATGCGTGTGAGTGTTTATGTGGTTCCTATGCTCATGATATCTTTTTCTGTAAACTTAGAACCATGAAATTTTAGATGCGCTTTGTGTAGTGGTTAAAGATTCCTCCCTTCTCTTCATGTATTTTTGTCTTGAACACTTTCTATAGAATTTCATATGATTTTGCTCTCCGGCATTGTTCTTTAGTCAACTTGCATATTCTGGGTACCCTGGCACTACGGGCAATTATCAGAACCTGATGCTCATCCAATAACTATGTTTTCAGACTTAGATCACTCACCATGTTCAAGAAATGAAGTGGGAGTCATGAACTATGTTGAAAGACGGATTCACAACTGAGGGAGCAAACTCAGAGCATAAGAAATCACTTCTTTTGATTAAAGCCTCCTTCCTGATTATATACTCACTAATTCACATCGCTAAAGGGAACAAGGATGAAATCCAAATCCTACAAGAGCTGAAGACTCTCTAATTTTCTCCACTACTACAAATAACTAAACTTTAATGAACAAGTGGATGGTTAGAATCCAAAACATAGAAAGTACGATGGTTCTTAGAAGAACGAAGAATCCCAAAATCTGGGGAGAAAAAAGCATTTACACTTACAGCCCTTGATGGGATGCCATTAGAAACATGAATGTGCAGAAGTAATCTTGCTTTCTTCTCGAAATCTTTCTTCAATCTCATAGCATTTATCACGTGAAGTTTGATTCTGCTGCTTCTCTTTATAGTGCTTGCGAATTTTTTCTTCTCCCACCTTTTTTGCATAGACCTATAAGATGAATGGATGGGCAGACAAGTTGGCCTGTGACACTTTGTCTCATTTCTTACTATCATCATAATAAACAATACAGGAACATGTTGATAGTCAATAATTCGCATTCTTTTATGAGTTTTATTTTTCTATTTCTCTATCATTATATTACAATGCCTATGTTGCGTTCTAGCACTACAAATATATCATTGCCCGCTTCCTGTTTATAACCAACCACTTTAATTAATGGACATTGGATCAAAAAGCCTGCCCATATATCGCTGTCCATATATGACCCTTATAATCACTGAAGATTTAGATTCCTATTTTTGTTAGCCACATTTGTTGGCACTCCTGCGCAATCAAAATGGTTGAATAGAGATTATTTAATGATGGAAAAGAACTCTCCCACAGACAAAAGATCCACATATGATGCTCACTCCTATGGTATGCCTTGTTGGAACACACAGTTTTGGCTGAGATGGAGGAGACATTGCCATGGAATTTGAAACTGCAGCATATGGATTCTTGTGATTCCCAACCCAAAAAACTGATGAATGAGTTGGTAAGTTTGCTGTGAGGGAGGCACTGAACAAACAATGCAATGGAAGCACAGAGAACCATTTTAATATGATATTATTTCACGCACACAAGTGGAAAGAAAAAAATATTCTTCTTGTCTCCCTCTATTCTTTGCCTATATAAGAAGAAGATGCACACATCTGAGACTCACAAGTTTTGAAGAAATTGCGTTTCTCATTTCCAAGCCTTCTACTTTCTAAGAAGAGAAAATGGCAGCCATTGAATCAAACCCAAAGATCTCCCTGCATGCACGCTCTAATAGCTTTCCCAACGCACCTCATCCCCTCGTATCACAATTTGAGGAGCACCTGAACAGATTAAAGTCTTCTGAATCTGCCTCTTCTTCATCCTCTTTAAGCCACAAACTCAGTGGCTTGCAGGATTTACATGAGTCTTCTGAAAAGTTGCTTCAATTGTCAACCACCCGACAAGCATTGGCACAAGATTGCACCCAAAAATGT